AAACTAGAGGTGCACGTAAATATCTATTCATATATGAATCGTGATTGTCTTCTAACGATTTTAATTGATTCACAAGTTTCAAAATCAATATTCTAAAGCAGCGGTTCTCAATACTGTTCCTCACGTCCCCCTGCTCTGCACACACTCTGCATCTCTCTCGCTTTCTCTCATGTCTTCTAACGATTTTAATGGATTCACAAGTTTCAAAATCAATATTCTAAAGCAGCGGTTCTCAATACTGTTCCTCACGTCCCCCTGCTCTGCACACACTCTGCATCTCTCTCGCTTTCTCTCATTCAGCTCGGCTCCAGCAATGAACGGTTACAATTATACACTTATTTTCACATAGCTATGAGAAGCGTTAAACATGGACGCGCGTACAGTTGCCGTACTGTATTAAAGCATTAATTATGATAAAACTGTATACTAAAAGCTAACATAAGCAGTAGCATTTACAAATAACAGCGTATCTAAAAGTATGAGACAAAAACAAACTAAAAACATAGGCCTACCATTACAAGCCGTGCTTGCACAGGTTCTGCACGATCCTCTTCAATAATATCCTCTGCTTCTCAATCGGGCTCAAACTGATAAGTGATATTAACGACGCCTTTGTATACAATACAACCGGAGCACATGCCGCTGAGGTGAGGGGCGGAACGTTTAGACGCGCACTAGAGGCAGTTTAGCCAATCACAACACACTGGGCTAGCTAACCAATCAGAGCACATTGCCTATTTCTGAGGGAAGGGCTTCATAAAAACAGGAAATTTATCCGAGCGTTTCTCAGAGAAGGGACAGAGCGGTGTGGAATAAAGGTAAATGTGAAAAACAATGCGTTTTCTCAAAAACCAAGCATTACCACATGTTAGACTGCCCCCCATAAACACAATCAAGCCTAGAAAAAAAAAAACACTGAACCACCCCTTTAATATATCGCAGCCCTGCAGAGTTTTGCTTCAACCCTAATCAAACACACCTGAACAAGCTAATCAAGGTCTGAACGGTTACTAGGAAGCTACAGGCAGGTGAGTTTTAATTAGGGTTGGAGCTGAACTCTGCAGGGCTGTGGCTCTCCAGGACTGGAGTTCGCCACCCCTGGTATAAGGCAACATCAAGGCAGAAGAGACAGTTCATGGTGGAAGAGATGAGGCAGGAGGATCCAGAGGGGCACACTAAAGCCATTTCAGTGGCCAAGCAGGGTCAAGGGACTAACTGGTTGAACTTTGAAAAGAGGAAACTCAGCTGGTGTGATATCTAGGAAATTAAAGGAACCTCAGCTGAGCTGAATTTTCTCATCGGAGCCACCTGTGACCTCCTACCCACACCTCAGAACCGGAATTAGCAGTTGGGAGAAGACAACTCCCTGTGTAAAGCACCTGCATCCCTGAGACATGACCAGGATGAGCTACAAGCCTCACTCAAGGGCGTTATACGCAGCAGCATAATCAAGTTCTAAAACAGCTGGCATCAGTCTTGGAACAGAAGCCAACTACCACAAATGCTTCTCCACAATCATCAGTAGGATTTTCCTACCTCACACCAGCCAGCTAACATCCAATACCCCACATGACAACAAAAGATGCAAGCAATTCCAAGGAGGAATGTGGACTCGGAGGGGGAAAAAAAATTCAAACCTTGTGTTTCCCCCAGATAGTGTGATCACAAATCTTCGGCCAGGTGTGGTCCTTTGGTCCACAACAGCCAAGCTGGCATATTTCGAGGAGCTTACAGTACAACGGGAGGATGGAGTGGAGCAAGCATTTGAGAGAAAACGTTTCAAGTACAACTTGAAGTATAAAGTAACCGAAGCTGTGCAAAATGGCTGATCATTTTTACAAATATCTGACCCGTTTTGGTACAAAAAAAAAACTTGGTAAACTTTCTGAACTAATCTCGAGAAACCATGTAAAATCTGACACTACATGTCATGACCTCATAAGTAACCGGATTCAGAACTGGAATCAAAACGATTTATTTGCTTATGACTTTTCACATGAGGAACAGATGGGAAGCACAGATTGAGCTCTGCTGGATCAAAATAAGAGACAGTGGCAGCGACTGACGGGTCGTGTTGTTTGTTTCAGTTTGTATATGCAGGGCTGCCAAACCTCACAGGAAGCTCGTACCGAAAGCCACGGCAATAAGAGCGAACCGCAGCACGTAAAAATACCATCGTCATCATCGTCAATGTGCACAGCTGCGTGGCTGCTGTTGTTGCATGCTCACTCGCTTTCACTCTTACTCAATCTCCTTCTCTCTGAGCTTGCCCACCATATCATCAAATCCAGATTAGATCTGTTTCCAATTGTGCCCCATCTGAGCAGGAGCGCTTATGTGGTCTCATGCTGCATGCTCATGGTTTGTTTTCAAGGATGTGGCTTCAATGGTATTAGATGAAGTCTGGTGTGTCTCCAAAGTTCTGGGGCTTACTGAGTTAGGCATATGACTGAACTCGTCTCACACGGCCTCAGTTGCAAAACCTAGTGGGTTGCCTCACTGTCAACTGCCTATAAAGACAGCTACCTTTTAAATGTGCATTCACACTTACAGAGGTTTAATTGTGGCAGGTTGCCAAGTCGCTGTGCTGCTAGTTGGCAGTTTTTCTAACTGGACTTCACTCTGTGTGACTGCTCTTTTGTATAATGTCGAGCTCAATTTGATCACTTCACTAACAGCCTGGCTCACAGATCGGTATATAACAACAATGTAACATTTACCAAATTTGATACGACTCAATCACCTAGGATTTCCGACAGGTGTTTAAAAACAGAATCAAGTGATATTGTAATGCAATATAGTTGCTTTGAAACAATATTTATGCGTATATTTAATTTATTTATGCGTATAATTCATTTATTTATGCGTTTATTTGTGTGATACAAGTAATGAATTGAAACATTCTTGTAATAGTAAAAAAAAAAAAAAAAAAAAAAAGTACTTTTAAGGGCAGAACAGCTTTTCGTTGGTGTGGTAATGTGGTAAATGCAAAAGTTTCAAGGGGTAATTTAAAACTGGCAAGATGAATTGAATAAAACTTGCCTATCTACCCGTGTCAACCCAACTGTATGTGGGCGGGAATGCAAAAATGCAGAAGTCTGATCTATAGTTTACCAAAACAATAAAAATCCCCACAGCTGTCAAAAGTCCAAGGTTATTTGTCAGCAAAACTCTGCTGGATGATGCACAATTATGGTGAATTTCGTGACAAATAACCTTGGTGCAGAAAACACTAAGAACACAATTTGTTAATTTATATATACTTACCGACATTGCAACTAAACAAGGCTTGCTGAAAAAAAAACCTTATATATATATATATGAGTCCAGCAAACTACTTCAAGGTACTAATATACACATTTTAGGGATAGATGATCCACAAGTAACTACAATTACTAACTTTTTGATGTCCCGGACAGTCACTCCGAATCAAAATAAACCAATATCCCAGAGTATGTGTGGCTCCAGTTACTCATTTAGAAACATCAGAAAGTATAACAAAATAAAACATACAGTTAAGAACAGCTGATATCTACCCTGTTCTCTCTTTAGAGCAAAGCAAAACACCTGTGAGTAGCTAAAAGCAAATACACTTGAACGACATGTAACCATTACTCTCTATTTGTCTGCAGTGTTTGAGTTCAGCTAATTAACCCTTAAATGCACACCCCGGGTCTTTAGTGACCCAGCATGTCACCCATCCATTTTTTCCCATGCAACAATGTGGAATATCTGACATCTCAATAAGTGTGCTTATTTCTCAAGTTGGCGACATAATGCGTAAAAATGTATGACTGTAGACATAAAACAAGACGATTCATCAGCAAATCTTGACATGGCTCAGCGATTTACTGAAGAGCAAGTTCATAATCAAATATCGGTGTCATTTAATGGTGGATCTGATGGCGAAGCTGTCGGCAAACAAAATTTTGAAGATGATTAAAAAGGAAAACGTTTGATGCTCAATTTATGACGACGGCGGTAAAGCAGTTGATCAAAACACCCTTCCTAGTCCTTCCAGCAAAATGCGCTTTCATTTATTAAATTTAAATTTAAATTTCACAACAGTATACTGTTGTGTAGATTCCAGGTCACTAAAACCCTGTTACGTAATATAATTAGCAAAACATTCATGCATTCAAGGGTTAAGTTTGCTTTATTTCTAACCATACAGAGTGATTACAGATTGAGATCACTCAATGGGAACGTCCACGCCTTGCCTCCATACAACCCATCTACATCTAGTTTCTCTGAACAAAAAAGGACAACATGACACAGTCTGGTCAAAAGCCGCATTGTTACATCCACGGGGATGAACAAAATTCAGTGATCCAGATAGGGGATTTCATATCTTCTGATTGCAGATTTCACCATTTTTTCCCACATGGGTACATTTTTGTTTATCAGCAGGTTGTGGCGACAGACCAAGGAAGATATTTTCCATTGCTTCAGGGCTTATGACACCTCTTTCCTCCTGGAAAACTATGTACCACTGTTTGGGAGTCTGTGGGTCACACAGTTTGAGTTTCGGTCTGTTTGCTATAATGGAGGTTTATCTTTGCGCGTCTGCATGTGTGAGTAAGATCCCTCATGCCAGATAAGACATGCGTTTTTCGGCTTTTGTATCCTGCTTATCGCCAAGGTTTTGGATGATTTGTTGGAAAAGTGTGCCGTCTCTCTAAACGTCTCATCTGAGGCATGATTTCTCTGGGCAGACCATTACAGGCTCTGACAACTTGGAAATAAACCGTTCTGAATTCCTTGCAGCAAAATAAATGCAGCTTTTGAAAGAACAAATGATTTTGTTTAGGATTGTGGAAAAACGGATTCTCCTTTTATTCAAATGTACAAACTTAACTTTAAACTCTACCCAATCCACTCCGAATGAAACTGTACGCCACATTGTCCCTAGTAGGCCTGAGACTAGAAACAGGTAGTAGCCAGTACGTGTCAACATTTGTCTTTTTGTGTTGCACAGAGAATGGAAAACCATGAAAATCATTTTCATTATTGGGTGAACTATCCCTGTATGTACGCAATAAGTACAAAAATTAAGGACAAAATGTTGATGGCTCAGTGATTGTTACTTATGTCCAGATTTTCAACCATATGCCTATGTTAAACGTTGGGCATGCTAGCCGTTGTTCATATAGCTTTGGCATCGTTCTCACACTTACCGGCCTTTTGTATACATGCATTCCCGGGCAGATGACTCAAAGCCGTCCGGGTTCATGGATGGCAGGATGTGCACACGACTGCTGTTCAACAAACGTGTCACCAGCGGATCACTCAGGTAACGGCTGGTCAGATAATCGATCAACTGAAGCAGTAACACACGGCCAACAGCCTGAACACAGAGAAACAAATACATTCAAAAACAAACCATGGTAACATGGTAAGCATGGTAAACTTACTGTAATGCCTTTAGTGGTTTGTTTTTAATAAGCAACTGAAAAAAAGCAGTATGATAACATCCATGTTCATTAAAAAAAGAAAAACACAAAAATAGTAATAAATATTTTTTTTAAATAATAATAATAATAATAATTATATATACAGTGGGTACGGAAAGTATTCAGACCCCCTTAAAAAATGACATCAAATTTCAGGCCATCCAAACTTACAAGTAATTGTTTGACACCGATAGGGGGAAAAATATCTACGTGACCACAAAATAACTCAAATTACAATTATGATGTTTCAAACAAGGATTTTGAAATTGGACACTTGAAATTGGAGTAAGATTAAACACAAAGTTTGAGTCAAATTGACACTAAATCTTGATAAATTAAGGGAGCTTTGCAGAAGCGCAAGTAAAAGACCTGCATACATTTTACCTTTGCCTATGCCATTGAACTCCGCCACTGGACCAATGGGTGCTCCTTACAGACCACTGAGATTCCGTTGTGGGACAGGTTACCCAGAATGCCCAACAACATGAAAATCAAGTAACTGACTGTCTAAATGCCTTATCAATCAAGGTTGAAGCTACTTAAGACACCTCAAATTAAGATTTAAGTTTAGGACATGGCAGTCAAAATGATTCACTACAACAAACATCTTTCTTGCCTAATAAACTTACTAAATCACATTAGTATTTGCCATGCTTAAAAGACATGTCAGTATCTTCAGCAGGAAATGAACGGTTCCTTTCCTAGGAAGACATCACTCAATGGATCATTCATGCTACATCATTGTGGTCTCTTCTGGACGTCACAGGCCATCAGGGGCGCTTTGATGTGGTGTGGAGTGTTTGCACTGCTATTCACATCTTGCAGAGCAGCTATACCAAAAACTACTCGCAGAACCTGAAGCCCGAGGATCTCATATACTGTAAGACAACATGGCAAGCATTGAGACTACAGATAGTATCGGTCTGGTGTGCATGTCTGTGTACTCTTTCTGAGAAATGACTGCCTCTATTTGTCCCGAGGACAATCCTTTTTCATGGAAACTATATCTTAGAGAGACTCTGAGGTTAAAGTGCACGTCACTCACACACACTGCGACACCGTGAGACCTGTGATTATGAAGCACAAGTACAAACCAGTAGAGTTATGGGTTAAACTTTCTGTCCTGCAGTGTTGCACACTGCGTCTAACAGCGTGTATGATTACTGTTATCTGTGACAGCTGAAACAGAGTAACAGACCACAGCAAACATCAGCTCATCAGTGTGATAACACCTTTAGAAGAGAGCAGAAACAATCTCAATCATTCAAACAGACAAAGAAAAAAACATACCAATCCATATAATAAATTAATTAGTTCAGTAAGTATAAAAAAATATACATTTAAACAAAACTAATTGTATATATTCTAATTACAATTATATAATATATTTCTAATTTATATCATTCTAATTACATTCCTATATTTTCTCTTTTTAAACGCTTTCATTTTGTTCGAGTGTTTGAACTTTTCACTGATTAGACTTCCATCAACTATATCTGCTAACACATTTCCACTGACACGGCAATCTTCATCTTTTTAATGGTTTTATTTCAGGACTTTGTGGGATACTGTGATTTAACGGTCTTCTTTTCAGTTTTTCCTGTTCCTTCATCGGTTGATTTGGATTTCAAGTCCATACGAAAGAAACGCTTGCTCCATAAGACCTCCAAGCAAATTCTGTAAACGAAGAGCTTAAAATGTCCACTGATGACGATATATTGAGTCCTCTAGCTCTTCCGGTCTCCATCAGCACTCACTCACTGACTCGTCTCAGAACAAACATCTGTTTCAGCAGCAATTATACTCTTCTGGGGAAGCAGATATGGTTTCACGTCTCATTGACACATCTTAGAAGTTCTTAAATATTGTACTTGTCATTTTATAGTTTACATTACTGCAAATTGCTTTATTTAGAGGTTATATGTTGATGTGTCATTTCATTTCTCTTATGAAGTTCTTTGAAGTGGCTGAAACTTTATTGATGTGGTTTGGTTTTTGTTTAACATACAATTTACATGGTGCCCATCTATTGTGAGGGAAAACATCAAGAGTGAGAGAGAGAGCAGAAAAAAAAAAGAGAGCCACTGTTGAAAAACTCCAGTCGGACTCAGACAATACAGCGGTCTGTATATTCACAATCGTGCTTTCGTGCAGCCGGTGGGCCGGGTCTGGTCTGGCCGGAGCAGCGTGCAGAGGAATAATTTAAGATAGAAGTAAAACCAGAGCTGGAAAAAGACAAGTCGGTCACACCGTACTGACTCTATGGCCGAAGGCCATCTGACCCTGTGTTACACATTCACTGGACTTCAACTTTCTGTGCATGCCTCTGGTTACATAATGCAATCAGTCTTTTTGATGCAAAATAATGCAGAATTTACATGATAATACCCAAGATACCACCACAAGTAAGCATTTTGCACTAATTGCAAGCATCACTATTACTATAGCTCTATACTTGATATTAAATTATAGGGTAGACAGCGAATCGACTCAAGAATGATTTTTTGCAAATTCAGAACGATTCAATTCGCGATTCTGCATTCTTTAAGTGCATTCAAGGGATTATTTAAATACTTCCCCCCTAAATTCTTTAAATGCTTAATCAGGGGGTCAATTACACAGCAGCCTTTATGGTTACAGAACCATAGGTTAGAGAAAAAAAACAAACAAACACTTTTGTCCATTGTTAAATGCTAGTTTACTGATGCTATGGTATGACATGGCATATGAAGAAATGTATGTAAGCCAAGATTTACAAAAAAAAAAATAAAAAAAGAGCTTTAAAAGTATCATGTTTAGGCTAACATTTTGTCACACCATTTGTAGCCATCATTTCAAAAGTGACAAATGTCAAATACAATAATTATGTATGTATTCTTTAAGAAAGCAAATACACTTCTGGACAATAATCAATCATTTATCTATATTTTTTTCCTAAACGCAATTTTTATGATTGTTTTATATATAACAAACAATTACTAAAATGTTCTGCACATAAGGCAGAAAATATACTTTATAGTTTCTGTACTGTAATAAATGATATGCCAATTAGCACTGCATCATTCATAAATTATTTATATATTGTGTTTGTCTTAACGTTTCAGTTCATTCTGCTTTTTATACAGCTGCAGATATAGCCTGGCACGTCTAATTCTATGAGCGCGAGATCACTTCTCTTTCAGTGCAAAAACTTAACTCATTTTCATCAAATAAAATGCTATAGTATTTAACTTTTCCTCTCCATCGGCGAATGATGATTATGAAAGAAAACGTGCCCAATGTCTGTTTGCTAGCAACAAACACTACTTTCATGCATCTGATTATCAGATCAACCTCGCGCTCCTATTTCAAGGTTGTTGTTAAAGCTGTGGTTATTTTAACAGTTTCCTTCGTACATTCGGTTCAACGACATTGTTAAAACATCATTCAATGGAACTGTGTGCGTATGCTTTAGACACTTACATTTTTGCTCTGTCCATGCAATAAATGTGCAGCCTTCGAATTGCTTAGGTAATGTAGTCGGTATGACCGAGAGCCATTGAAAAACTACAGAAAAATAAAACTACTTCACTTTAGCATTACTGGCCATGAGAACTAAGAGATCACACATCAGCTGCTCAAAAAATGTGTCAGTGAGACGAACGGAGCGCGAGCGCAATCTTGTGACGGTCACAGGCGGTAAATAGTGCAGCGCGTGAAGGAGAGATGAGAGGACACGAACACTGTTTCAAGGTCTCCATTAATTCGTGCTTGTAGTAATTTAATGTGTATATATTCGGAACGCATTGAATCGCTATAGCAAATCGCGATTCATTTGATTCTTAGCGTTTTAAATCGATTACTGTCCAAAATCGGCGATTCACGATTCAAAAATCATGTTTCAAGATCGATGCATTGCATCGTCAGGGTTTGTAATCGATGCATCGAGAAAACGAGTGAATCGTTACACCCCTACTAAAGACATAAATGAAAACTTTAATGGTGTGGCTTTTTGAGAAACTGTATTTTACTAAGCAAATGCATTTATGATTTTCACTGGGTGGACAGAAAGATTGAAAAATCCATTAGACTTACATTAAATAGGGCCCTGTGATTTCCGCGATGCAGAAAACGTGGAAGGAATAGCGGAATACAGTAAATAATTTTAGATGGATAAATCAAAAGTAGATCAGTACACTTAAATTGAAACTATATAGACTAGTGTCTGTGAATATTAAGCCACAAAATACTATTTAAATATGAAACCTGCATGTTCAGCATTTCTCATGTGAATGAATGGCGGTTTCGTTTACTACACACATACTGAAGCGCGTGTGACACTCGCGGTGTTTTCAGATGTGTCGAGTCACTTCATGAGTATTTTACGGTTTCTTTTGAGAAAAACTAACATCTCATATACAAACAAAAACTTCAAGGTCTTGCAGCAACCCATCAAAAAAGTTTGGTTTAACTTGAAGAAACTGTGACAGAAATATATTACTTAATGATAGTACTACTACTGCTCCTACTACTACAATTATTATTAGAACATTATTATAGGTATTGGAGCTGTTGAATGTTCATAGT